GTGTCAGCTACGGGTATTAAATGCCGTCTTCCACTCATGATTCTCTTTAATTCTAACCAAAATGTAAGCGCTCCTAAGGTCAAGCTTAGTAAATACTTTAGCTTCCTGAAGTCTATCGAACAATTCGGAAATGAGTGGGATAGGGTATGCATTTTTTACAGTGATTTTATTAAGTGCCCTGTAGTCTATGCAAGGGCGTAACTCACCACCCTTTTTCTCAACAAAATAGAATCCTGCACAGCTGGTGAGGATGACTTCCTTATGTGCCCTTTGCTCAAGGATTCTTTGATGTATTTCTCCATTATTTTTTTTGACAATTTTTATTTAAAGTTTTGTTTTTTCACAAAGTAGGAAGACAAAGTAACAGAAACATAGAAACATAGAATGTTCGGCCCATATTGTCTGCCCAATTTTCTAAATACTTTCATTAGTCCCTGGCCTTATCTTATAGTTAGGATAGCCTTATGCCTATCCAACACATGCTTAAACACCTTACCTGTGTTAACCTCTACCACTTCAGCTGGAAGGCTATTCCATGCATCCACTACCCTCTCAGTAAAGTAATACTTCCTGATGTTATTTTTAAACCTTTGTCCCTCTAATTTAAGACTATGTCCTCTTGTTGTGGTAGTTTTTCTTCTTTTAAATATAGTCTCCTCCTTTACTGTGTTGATTCCCTTTATATATTTAAATGTTTCTATCATATCCCCCCTGTCTCGTCTTTCCTCCAAGCTATACATGTTAAGATCCTTTAACCTTTCCTGGTAAGTTTTATCCCGCAATCCATGAACCAGTTTAGTAGCCTTTCTCTGAACTCTCTCTAAGGTATCAATATCCTTCTGAAGATACGGTCTCCAGTACTGTGTACAATACTCCAAGTGAGGTCTCACCAGTGTTCTGTACAATGGCATGAGCACTTCCCTCTTTCTACTGCTAATACCTCTCCCTATACAACCAAGCATTCTGCTAGCATTTCCTGCTGCTCTATTACATTGTCTGCCTACCTTTAAGAAATAATCACCCCTAAATCCCTTTCCTCAGATGTTGAGGTTAGGACTCTATCAAATATTCTGTACTCTGCCCTTGGGTTTTTACGTCCAAGATGCATTATCTTGCACTTATCCACATTAAATGTCAGTTGCCACAATTCTGACCATTTTTCTAGTTTACCTAAATCATTTGTCATTTGGCTTATCCCTCCTGGAACATCAACCCTGTTACATATCTTAGTATCATCAGCAAAAAGACATACCTTACCATCAAGACCTTCTGCAATATCACTAATAAAAATATTAAAGAGAATGGGTCCAAGTACAGATCCCTGAGGTACCCCACTGGTGACAAGTCCAAGCTTCGAATATATTCCATTGACTACAACCCTCTGTTGCCTGTCACTCAGCCACTGCCTTACCCATTCAACAATATTGGAATCCAAACTTAAAGATTTCAGTTTATTGATAAGCCTTCTATGTGCAACAGTGTCAAAAGCCTTACTGAAATCTAGGTAAGCAATGTCTACTGCACCACCCTGATCTATAATTTTAGTTACCCAATCAAAAAAATCAATAAGATTAGTTTGGCATGATCTCCCTGAAATAAACCCATGTTGTCTCTGATCTTGAAATCCATGTGTTTTTAGATGTTCAACAATCCTATCCTTTAACATAGTTTCCATCACTTTCCCTACTACTGAAGTAAGGCTTACTGGCCTATAGTTTCCCGACTGCTCCCTATTACCTTTCTTGTGAATGGGCACAACATTCACTAACTTCCAATCTTCTGGGACTACTCCTGTTAACAATGATTTGTTAAATAAATTTGTTAATGGTTTTGCTAGTACACCACTAAGCTCTTTTAATAGCTTTGAATGTATTCCATCAGGTCCCATTTGTTGTATAATCCTTCTCTCACCACCAATACTTCCAATTGGTATCCTTTTGAGAGAAATCCACTCTGCGTTGTGTTTTTAATAGTGAATGTAATATCCCTGTGTCACCTCTTCCAAGAACTAACATATATCTTTATCCCCTTGTCCAGGTAAATATATGACTAGCACTACTAAGGTATTCTACCCGATATTACAAATAAACAGCCAACACCATAGTTCTTACCAGAGAGAAATCTTTACTTAGAATCTGCCCAATTAAATATTACAGAAGAAGAATGTTACAGAGTTATAGTATTACAGTTACAATACATTCATAACACTCATACATTCCATCTGTCTAATATCTACTGTATTGTGTATGTGCTGTGAGATGTTATGTGCAGCTTGTGCCTTACCAAACCTAATCTAATGTGATGTCAGTATCTTCTATTTTTAAAGGAATTGATTCCCATGTTGTAAATAGCCAATTCCTCAGCTCAATTTGACATGGAAATGATAGGGACTCCTTTGAAGACCAGTTGATATGTAAATGTGATTTACTTTCCCAAGGCCCAAAGTGTTGTCTGTCCTGTTATTTTATTTAAGTGTTAACTCTCCCAGCCATCCCTTTTCCTCTAACCCAAGGTGTGTTTTCCTAGATAGGGACTACTTTGAAGACCAGTTGATATGTAAATGTGATTGGTGTCTTTCAGGTGCTGTATCTTTTCAGCTATCTAAACAGAAACTCCCTTTGAAGATAATTCCTGACCTCCCATACACACAGACTTAATCAAGCACATATTAAACAGATATATACATAATATTTTCCCCAACACTCCCCCGCTTGAATAAGATCTAATAAGGAGATTATTCACATACAGCCCCGCCTCCCACTCTGATTTCTGTATATTAAAAAAAAATCAAAAAAAAAATCAAGGGAAGACATAGACCCACACATATATTTTATATCCCTAAAATGGATGTGAGCTCTAATTTTTCCTGCTTTGTATGGATTTTTTTTAGTTCTTTCCTCCAACAGCAATATAAAATGAATAGAGAACAGATTAAAACAAATTGTAGACAAACAAATATTACAGAGGCAGTTCTTAATCCTGGGTGTGTGTAAGTATTGTAGGGTATACTCCACCAGGGCTCTTGAAAACTATTTGTTAAATCATCAAGGCTAGCTACATTTTCCTTCACCAGCTCTTGCAATTGCACAACCCTTCGATTATTTCTTTTAAATAATGTATCCAAATCTACATTAAGTGGTGGGATTTTCTTAAAAAGTGAGGGAGCCATTTTATTCCAATTTCCTAGATCTTCCTGTACCACGTCCATAGATCTTTGTGTGAGTTGGATATTGGCTCTTATGACCTCTTTGCCCACTTTCATGGAGCCATAGGTAAGATTAACACACCATCCTATTGGGGGTACCCTACATTGTATTGTTTGCTGCCACAGAACTGAAGATACTCCCAGTGCGCAGATCGTGGGACCCTGTCCGTGCACCACTCTTTTCCAACCATTTATGGGTTTGTGAAGGTGAACAGGGCAGCTCCCTGAGTTTTCCACCATGCACCCATCTGCCTGGACTAGTGGTTCTAGTACACAGGAACAAAGCCAAGCATTACCACGTCTGTCACAGCAACTGGGGTTCATAACTTTCCAGAACTGGTCTTCTTTTATTACTAAGCGAGTTTGTGGAAGGAATTGCTTTAAAACATTAGTGCGATTAGCCACTTCCAACTCACCAAACATTGTCATCTTATAAACAGGTACAGGCTGTTCTGTCCAAACTGGAATGTCAATTATTAATGGAATTACCTTTTTTCCTAATTTGCACTTATTGCACCAACTCTGCAGACCTTTAATTTTGGAAAGGACTACATTCTGACAATCTATGCCATATTCCCTAACCAGATCAAAGACTAGGGTAGAATTGATTATTCTGGGCCATTCCCCTCGTTTTATTTCTTGGAGGCCTAAATTTAGATGTTTGTCTAGTAAATTTCCAACTATACCACATACCATAGCTTTAGATACATTATTGTTATTAACTGATTCTCTGAGAGCATTCACAGATATATTGATCCACTGCAAATCTGCAGCAACTGTGTGAATGTTCTGTATCGTGACATCAGTTTCAGCTAGAGTGTTAAAATCCACTCGTCCCTTTTTAAGCATAATTTGCTGCAACCCATTAACATAATTTTGTTCTCGTGAGTTAAGACCCTCGATGTCTGCCCTATTCCAAATTGATGTTCCCAAACTGAGTCCTGAGATTATATCAGTACCCAGATCCCTTTTTTCTCTCTCTCTAAACTTGAGCCCTTGTGTTGCCTCCCAGAATAGATTAATATGTGCTTGAAATACATTTTTAAACCATTCTTTCATCATCTCTGGGCAACTCTCTGGCATATTAAATAATGAAATAAGATACATCAGTATACATAAGAGTTTGTGTTGGTTGTAAGAAAAGGCCATGCTCTGGCCACAGGGTGGTAGTTGGACAGTCCTGAGAATTTATACTTCTTATGTTAATTGCTGGGTCAACTGTATCATGTAATCCAGTCTGATGGGGGCTGCATGTTACAACACCATCCTGAGAAAATGTAAAATTTCTTTCCAGCAGCATCTTTATCCTCATTTCAATTGTGGTATTGGCCCAAAATATACTTGTACTCGTATGTAAATCACTTCCTCCTGGATATTTCCAAACTGCAAATTCAGAGGGAAGGTTAGTTTTAGGCATTGAAATATTACATTGTATCACTATCCACCCCCCTATAGGCCCAACCACTGTAAGATTATCTTTACATGTAACTTCAGGTGATTGTTCCTTTACTTTTAATGTTACAATGATATTCTCTGAATCTTCTGAACTCCTTTTCTCCCTATGATAACCCTCTACTGGAGTACTCTGATGTACCATTTTATTGTTATTCTTCTTCATGACATTCCCTTTTGCTAAGCTATACAATATATACATAGAAAACGATACACATAACCACCACATCACGACAGCTGTTTTCTTGCACTTCATATTCCTTATGTGGGCTGCTCTTCCAGGGATCCACACCATCTCCTATTATCTGGAAAAGAGAACTAAGAGAATATGTTAACATTTACATTAACTTGGCACATCATTTTTTCCTCTAAAGGCTTTTATTTGACATGCATGCGTCCATCTAAAGTTCTCATCTCCCACATCTAACAAATACACAGAGGGTCCAATTTTGTCAAGCACAAAATATGGACCTTTCCATTTAGGTTTTGGAAATGGGTGGTGAGGGGAAAAATCTTGCAACATTACTCTGTCTCCAATCTGATGCTCTGTTATATCCCCTTTTGCATTAAACCATTTTTGAGTGGCCTTGTGAGTGCATTCATCGGTAGCACAGAGAGATTTATGTACTGTCAAAATATGCTCTTTCAGATTTCCAACCCAGGCTTCAGATAATGCTACTGTGTCTAGGGCGGGTGGGAGAGGATTTAGTAAATGTTCCCAAGTCCTCATAGTTCTCCCTAATAAAGCTTCATAAGGGGCAAACCCTGTTGATCTGCACACTCTGGAACGAATAGTCGATAGAACAAATGGTAATTTTTCATCCCAGTCTGTTCCTTGTGAATTCACAACCTTTTTTAATGCATCTTTTACAGTCCTATTCATTCTTTCAACCTGACCAGAAGATTCTGGGTGATAGAATATGTGAAACTTGTGAATTATTCCCAGTAAGTTACATGTTTCCGCTATGACATTACTAATAAAGGCTGGTCCACTATCACTGTCCATAACCTTTGGAATTCCCCACCTGCTGAAAATTTCTTTCACAAGTATTCTGGCTGTATTGATCGCAGTACAATTTTTTGTTGAAAATGCCTCTACCCAATGACTAAATGAGTCAACTACCATAAGAATGTATTTATTTTGGTGGACAGTATTCGGTAGTTCACCAGTATAATCAATTTGAATACGTTCCCATGGTCCCATGGGTGCCTGTCTCATCAAAGCCCCCCTCCTTTTCCTGTTAGTAGGATCATGTCTAGCACATTCTAAGCAGGATTGTATGTGATCCTCCATATGTACAATACTTTGGGGCCACCAAGCTACATGGTCTAATCTTTCACTTGCTAACTGGAGCTTTGGGTGCCCTCCTACAGGAGAGCCATGAATCCACGTGAGAATATCTTTTCTCACCCCTTTTGGAGCAAACCAAACTGGAAAATCCTTCCAGTCTGTGACAAGCAGGCCTTCTTTTAAATACAACTCCTGCCCTTCATAGACTATTGGTCCTGCCTCACAAGATTTTCTCAGTGCTCCTATTTCCTCATCTTGTTCTTGTAGTTTAGCCAATTCACCTGTCCTCTCCTTTGTCTCTTTTGCCTGTGCCCTTGTTATAGCAGCTACAGGTATTGAAGTCATTGCTGTTAATAAAGGCCATTCAAGGGCAGCTTCTGCTGCCTCTTTTGCCAGTTTGTCAACTTTGTTATTATGGTGATGTTCTACTGTCTCCTTTCTATGAGCTTGCACCTTCCTGATATTGACTTTAACAAAATATTTAGCATTTTCCTCTATGGCTTGAATAACGACGCATACTTTATCTCACTGCCATCCGTTCCTTTGAAACCCATCATTTTCCACCATGGTAGATACACCGCAGCTCCTTTACATACCTGATCTGAATCAGAAACAATATTAACAACACCACCATATTCCTCCATTTTCTTAAGAACTTGCAACAGTGCAGCTATTTCAACATATTGTGCTGACACGGCCTTACACGAAAATGCAAACTGATCCTGAATGTGACCCTCTTTCACACATATACCAGCAAATCCTGCTATCCTTTGGCCATCTTTGTAATATGATGACCCATCAATGTACCAACATTCTGTGAGGGGATCAAAGGGTTCTGATACAGCTTTGAACACATCATGTTGTAAACTAGCTCCAAAGACTTTACATGTATGAGGTTCACCCTCTATATGGAGCCCTCCCACCAACACGCTAGGCTCTTTCAACATCAATCCTTTTATGTTTTCTGATAATAAAGCAGTAGTCCATCTTGCAAGTCTTTTACTGTTTACATCACCTTCTTTCCATTTTCCATTTGCTAGCAAAACTAAAGGAGTATGGTGACTAGCAATTACAACAGTCTGAGTGCCAGTTAAATATCTGAATTTGTTTATTGCCCAATAGCAACATAATACCATTCTAGTGCACAAAGGATACTTTTGTTCCACTTGTGTCAACAACCTTGATGCATAAGCTATAGGTCTTTGTTTTCCAAAACACTCTTGAGTCAAAACAACTGACAATGATGTGGGGCCAACATGTGGATACATCCTGAATTCTTTATTTGGATCAGGGGCAGCTAAAGTTGGGGCATTTCCCAATGCATGTTTTAGAGTCTCTATAGCCTGTGTATGCTCTGCCTCCCATTTCCACTTATTTTTCAAAAGATCATATAAGCACTCTGTCATTTCTGCATACTGAGGAACAAAGTCTCTGCAAAATCCAGTCATACCAAGAAATTGCCTTAAGCAACGTTCATCTGTAGGTAGAGGAATTTTCCCAATCAACTCTACTCTTTGTTCATTAATACTCCGCCCTGACTTCCCTATGGTAACCCCAAGAAATTGAACTTGCTCTTTTCCAAGCTGTATTTTTTTAGGATTTAATTTTAATCCTGCTTCTCTCAAAAGCTGCAACAATTCTTGGACATCATTTTTATGCTCCTCCATTGAAGGAGAACCTAGCAAAATGTCATCCACATACTGAACAATCCTTTCTGACTTTGAAAATCTATCTACCACTTCCTTCATATGGGCATAAAAAATGGCTGGGCTATCTTTATAACCCTGAGGTAGAACTGTCCACATGTACTGGATCCCTTCCCAAGTAAAAGCAGTCCTGTATTGACAACTCGGCTCAAGACCAATACTCCAAAAACCATTATTAATATCCACCACTGAAAACACCTTCATATCTGGAGTTATTTTGCCAATCATTTCTGGGTAAGCTGCAACAACAGGGGCCATACTTTTTGAATGCCTATTCAAAATACGGTAATCAATTGTTAGTCTATATGTGCTGTCAGGTTTAGCCACTGGCCAGGCCGCTGAATTACACACAGATGCACCCCTTATCAAAGTTCCCTGTGCTTCTAATTGCTTAATCACTTCTCTGATCGGTTGAATAGCTTCTCTAGGTACTGGATATTGTTTTTGGGTTGGTGGGTCACTGCCCTCCAATAACACCATTGTATTCATTTTGCCACAATCCTGTCTGTGTTTAGCAATTACATCCTGAAATGCATTCATTAAATCATCCCAGGTGTGGTCCCAAGAGCCTATTACTTCCCCCACTGGTTTCACTGTTGCTGTTACTAGTTCCATAGGAGGGTGCCATACATGACCTGTATTTCCATTCCCTTCCATTTTCCACAGTTTTAAATTAGCTAAATCCACAATCAGCCCTTGTTCACAACAAACATCTGCTCCTATAATGTCTTGATCTTGACATACAACATCACACCTCCAACTTTCCTCTCCAATCTGCATTTACACATCACGTACAAAAGGAGCTTCAATGGAATGACCTGTAATGCCTGTAATTCTAATTTTCTCATTTCCTGGTTTCACATGCTTGCTGAAACTTACAGCTGCCCCACTATCTAACAGCGCTTGTACTCGAGTACCCCCTAATAAAACATCAACAGTGGGTCGCCCCCAAGGATCTAAGGTCAGATTTGTTAAGAAATGACAAGAAGGGGCGAGGGGGGCTCGGATTTCCTAACACTCAAGGGATTCTTTTGGATGCATTACCTTACTATCTTCCACAGTAGCCACCCTAGACTCTGCCCTCTTGATCTTATCCAATTCATATTTTACCTTGTTCAATTCTTCCTTTAGCCGATCTCTTTCATCTTTAATTTCATGGAAAGGAACCCATGGTTTTACAAATGTATCACTCTTTGCCTTCTTTTCACTACCAGATTCATTCTCACCTCTAGAATTTCCTATATGCTGAAATCTATTTCCCCTTAATGGTTTCTGAGGATACATGGCAGACCTATCTCTCCTCTCTGGCCCCTCTACTCTGAAAATCCTTGCCGCATCTACAGCAAAACTCTCATTTTTAACCTTTCTTCGCCACAAATTATCTGCTCTTAACAGTAAATCACACATTTCTGATGGGTTTGGGGTTACAGATAATATCTCATCTTTAATATCCTCCTCTAGTGCATCCAAAAACATTGATCTATGCACCAGCCCTCCCTCTTCAAAACCAGGATTACTGACACCAAACTGTTCCATCACTGTGGAGATTCTAGCTGACAATTCATATGGAGACTCTTGTTTCAGCTGTTTAATCTTTCCAGACAATGACACATTTGATGTAATTCCATAAAGTGCTCTCAAGATCTCTTTCAACATATCCCTAGTTCTACGCTGCTGACCACATGTCTGTACAATCCTGACCCACAATCCATTTCCAACAACTCTCTGCAGCACCCTCTCCATATCACTAGTTGTCAAACTATACATCTCTTTCACTCTTTGAAATCCACAAAACCATTGCAAAAAGCGATTGATATCCTGCTGAGGTACCTGCCCTATTTCTCTAACTATAGCATCCATTTCTTGTGGCTTCAACTGCTTAGTAACCAGCTGAATCTCTCCAGAATTATCAGGATTCAACACTGTGGTTGTTGTTGTTGGAGCCGCAGGGAGATTTGTCACTGACTTTTGTTTCAAATCCTCCCATGGATAAATGGGTTTGTATCCTGTATCTCCAATCCCTGGGTTAGCAATAGACCCTGGAATTTCAGATACAGGAGACCTACTCGAAGGTGCCATGCTTTCTGCCATTTTATTAAAAGCCATATTAGTAGCATGTCTGCATTCATCCAATTCTTTTTGCATCTCCAAAATTTTCCCATTCAGCCTCTCATTCTCCACTGTAAGTTCCTCACACATTTTTGCCTTTTCAATCAAAGCTTCACCAGTTGTAACTGCATGCACTCTTAGATCTACAATCTTATTATTCAATTTCTCAGATTTCATGTTAATTACTGAATTTAGCTCTGCCATTTCATCCTCCTTTATTTTTACAATTCCCTCTAATTTTAAACAACATGATAGTAATGCTTGCACAATACACCCTTTTCTTTTTTTATCAGAAACATTTTTATCAAATAACATTTCTCCTAAAAACTCCTGCATCTTTTCCCATGACTGTTTACAGTCCTGAGGGATTTCATAAGGACCACCATGTCTCTTAATATAATTCATAAGCCATTGTTTAACATTTTCTGAACAAGCCATTTTTGCATCTACCTTTTTACATGCCATATTAAAAATTTACACTGCACCAATAGAATAAATAACAAATATACTCACCAAGCTTTATGCAGACACTGGAAACCTCTTCTGGCTGACAGTCACAGAACCAAATACGTTGATGTTAAAACTTGGATCCTAGGCAGATTCTGAAGGAAAAAAAAAATCTTCCGGCCACGGTCACGGCACCAATTATGTTGTATAATCCTTCTCTCACCACCAATACTTCCAATTGGTATCCTTTTGAGAGAAATCCACTCTGCGTTGTGTTTTTAATAGTGAATGTAATATCCCTGTGTCACCTCTTCCAAGAACTAACATATATCTTTATCCCCTTGTCCAGGTAAATATATGACTAGCACTACTAAGGTATTCTACCCGATATTACAAATAAACAGCCAACACCATAGTTCTTACCAGAGAGAAATCTTTACTTAGAATCTGCCCAATTAAATATTACAGAAGAAGAATGTTACAGAGTTATAGTATTACAGTTACAATACATTCATAACACTCATACATTCCATCTGTCTAATATCTACTGTATTGTGTATGTGCTGTGAGATGTTATGTGCAGCTTGTGCCTTACCAAACCTAATCTAATGTGATGTCAGTATCTTCTATTTTTAAAGGAATTGATTCCCATGTTGTAAATAGCCAATTCCTCAGCTCAATTTGACATGGAAATGTGATTTCCTTTCCCAAGGCCCAAAGTATTGTCTATCCTGTTATTTTATTTAAGTGTTAACTTTCCCAGCCACCCCTTTGTCTCTAACCCAATGTGTGTTTTCCTAGATAGGGACTCCTTTGAAGACCAGTTGATATGTAAATGTGATTTACTTTCCCAAGGCCCAAAGTGTTGTCTGTCCTGTTATTTTATTTAAGTGTTAACTCTCCCAGCCATCCCTTTTCCTCTAACCCAAGGTGTGTTTTCCTAGATAGGGACTACTTTGAAGACCAGTTGATATGTAAATGTGATTGGTGTCTTTCAGGTGCTGTATCTTTTCAGCTATCTAAACAGAAACTCCCTTTGAAGATAATTCCTGACCTCCCATACACACAGACTTAATCAAGCACATATTAAACAGATATATACATAATATTTTCCCCAACACCATTGACTTATTTGTCTTTACTTTTGACAGTTGAAATAGAACCTCTTTCGCTGTAAACTCACGTGTAATAAATGACTTGTTTATCCTTTTTCTTAACTGAGGTCCCTTTCCTTCATTTTCATCTGTAAATACAGAACAAAAATATTCATTGAGGCTGTCAGCTAGACCTTTATCCTCTTCTACATACCTTCCTTCTTTTGTTTTTAATCTAACTAATCCTTGTTTTACTTTTCTTTTCTCATTTATGTATCTAAAAAAAGTTTTGTCCCCCTTTTTTACTGACTGTACTATTTTCTCTTCTGTGTGTGATTTGGAAGCTCTTATAACTTGCTTAGCCTCTTTCTGCCTAATCTTATAGATCATTTTGTCTTCCTCACTCTGGGTTTTTATAATTGCTAAATGCTAACTTTTTGTTTTTAACTATTTTGGCCACATCTGCGGTGGCCAAACCACAGTGGTTTCTTGAATTTTTTGCTTTTACTGTCAAGCCTAATGCAATTTTCTGTTGCCTTCAGTAGTGCAACTTTTAAATAATTCAATTTCTCTTGGACTCCATTTAAATTGCTCCAGTCTGATAATGACTCCTCTACACATATTCTAATTTAAAAAAAGTCTGTTTTTCTAAAGTCTAAAACTTTTGTTTTTGTGTGGTGTGACTCAGTCACTGTTCTTATATTAAACCACACTGACTGATGATCACTGGATCCTAAACTTTCACCTACAGTAATATCTGATACGAAATCTCCATCTGTTAACACTAAATCTAGTATGGCCTCTTTACGAGTTTGCTCCTCAACGACTTGTTTTAAAGACAATCCCAGTAGGGAGTTTAGAATATGTGTGCTCCTTGTACAAGCAGTTATTTTTGTTTTCCAATTTACATCAGGAAGATTAAAGTCACCCATGATGATAACTTCCCCCTTCATTGTCATTTTAGCTATTTCCTCAACTAGTAGATTATCTAACTCTTCAATTTGTCCTGGGGACCTATAAATCACGAGTTACTGTGTGATTACCAAATTCTAACGTAACCCAAACGGACTCTATGTTCGCCTCACTAACTTTTATTAGGCTAGATTTTATTCTATCCTTCACATACAGGGCCACCCCTCCCCCTTTCTTGCCTTCCCTGTCTTTTCTATATAAAGAGTACCCTGGTATTGCTATGTCCCAGTCATTTTTCTCATTGTACCATGTCTCAGTAACAGCGACTAAATCTACACTATCAGTTGCCATTATTGCCACAAATTCATGGATCTTATTCCCTAAACTGCGAGAATTTGTAGATATGACTCTAAGCTTATCATTTTTTAACACACTTGCTACAGGCACCTTCTGTCCTTGTTTTTGGAGACAACTGAATTGATGTTTTATCACCCTTTTGCCCCCCCCTCCTAGTTTAACTACATCCTAGCAAAACCTCTGAACTGCTCACTGAGAACATTTGTTCCCTTTTGAGAAAGATGCAAACCATCTTTTTTGTACAGGTTATTTCCATTCCAAACAGAGCGACCATGAGAAATAAAGCCAAATCCTTGCTCCCGACACTATTCACCAAGCCACAAGTTAAAGTCCCTAATACGCATCCGCCTGTCGTTCTGAGTGTTATGCACAGGCAGAACTTCAGAGAATGACAGTGTGGAAGCAACCTGCCGTATATCATTGGCAAAAACACTAAAAACTTCCTTAACTTCTGAAACCTCAGTGCAAGCCAAGTCATTTGTCCCTAGATGGACAAGTACATCCAATTCCCCTTCCTGCTTTGCTCGCTTAACAATATTACAGACACATCTCCTGTCTCTGTGAGCAGTAGCTCCGGGAAGACACCTCACAAGACCACCATTGTCCATCTCCACACCTCTTATGATGGAATCCCCAACAACAACTGCTTTCTATTAGGCCTCACCATAGTCTCCAAGTCGGTCTCCACAACACCACTAGCCTCAGCGCCTCTCTCCACAACACCACTAGCCTCAGTGCCTCTCTCCACAACATCACAAGCCTCAGTGCCTCTCTCCACAACACCACTAGCCTCAGTGCCTCTCTCCATAACACCACTAGCCTCAGTGCCTCTCTCCACAACACCACTAGCCTCAGTGCCTCTCTCCATAACACCACTAGCCTCAGTGCCTCTCTCCACAACATCACAAGCCTCAGTGCCTCTCTCCACAACACCATTACACTCTGAAAGTGCAGAAAATGAATTATGTAGAACAACAGACTGTGCAATATGCCTTTTATCCACAACTCTAAGTCTACCAGATCCTACAGTAATCCATCTGCCATTTCTAGTATGTCTCAGCGGCAGTGGCTTTGCAGCAGTTCCAGTCTGAGTTTGTTTACCAGATAATTTACAAATCTCAGACTTCAAGAATACAATCTTCTGCTGCAAGATAGTGAACTGTCTACAGATTAGACAACAACCAAACCTCCAAAAAGTGGAACGTGAAACAAATGCATAGCAACTATTACACTGAACTAAGTCTGCCATTCCAATGAGATGAATAATTTAAATCAAACAAATCTTAACTTTTTATTTATCCTCCTAAATACCTCAGATTACCTCCAGGTTATCTCCAGAATATCTCCAACCACACACTTAGAAGCAACACTTAGATGAAGCAACCAAGCTATATTAGCCAAGCTAATGACAACAACCCTTATATAACTTCTAAAATCACCACCCACTAGGAATGTTTAACACATGGGTAGGCCTCTGCTTATTTGCAAACAATAGCTAATTTAAACAGCAATCAATAGCAAGTAGCTAACTAATTAAATCAAATGCCTTATAATTACCAACAGGAATTCAAACCTTGTGCAATCAGGAACCTTTTCCTACAGATGAATCTTACCTGTAACAGTAGAAAAAAAAACTCTTAGCACAACTCTTAGACAGTTGAAGCTTCTGTACAACTCTCCAGAATATCTCCAACCACACACTTAGAAGAAACTCTTAGATGAAGCAACCAAGCTATGTTATAACAACTTAGAGTGTATGTTATAAAATAGTTCACGTGTACTATACATCAATTTTCATACAATTTGTTCTGAGGTTTTGAAAGGGAGCAGTGAGCGATGTGCGTTCCTTAACAACTGGTTCGAGCCATGTTTTGTGTCCCTCTGATTAGGCTTTTTTTCCTTTTTCCCTTCACTTTTTTTTCTGACAATCTTTGTTTTTGCCTTTTGTCATGGTTACAGTTTGACAATTAGTGAACAGAGTGCAAAGTGATTTTGCTTGTTATTTTGTTTTTTAACCATGATTTTGGAGACTGCTGTTATTAGCTTTGCTCCAGATCATTTGTCTGGATTTATGTGAAATATATTTTTATCTATTTATATATTTTCTTGTGTCGTTTTTCCACTCCCCCTACCCCGTGTCTATATGCCCCTGCATATTTCTCTTTGTCTGAGTTAGACAGTAATATTTAATGTATCTACTGCTTTTTCTTTTGATATAAATAAAGTATCTTAGTGATTTTTATCAATTCTCTATTATAGGGACAGATTTCCCTCTCTCTTTGTGAACTAAAAATCCATGCCTAAAGTACAATGTGAGAGAAAGATAACACAAAAAAATGACTATTCAAAAGTTTCACAGAGACTGGTTGTAGAATTAGTGCATGTGTTAAAATACCACCATTTGAAATACCCTAGGGTGTCTACTTTTCAAAATATATGGTTTGATGGGGGTAAATTATATTGTCCGGCT